ATCATATTTGGTGGACATGTAGGGATGTTAAAGCCTTTTGGATTAAGATTTGGTGGAATATTCAACAGATTTTTAAGAAAAAGATAAAATTTACACCGCAGTTATTTTTATTGGGTATTATGGACAATTTGGACCAAAAAGAAATGAAATTGATGTTGTATTGTATAACAGCAGCAAGGATCTTAATTGCTCAAAATTGAAAAAAAAAGATGTTACCAACTATGGATGATTGGAGACAGAAAGTATCGTATTCTGCAGAGATGGCAAAAATATCTGCGTATCTGAAGGATCATTCTCAGGAGAAATTTATCTCAATGTGGAAAAGATGGATAGATTATATTCAGAGAAAGTATGAATTGAAAAATTATCATGTAGCTTTTGATTAAAAATTTTAAACAAAAATATGTATAACAAATATTGATATATTTAAAAAAAAAATTGTATGTATTTTAATGTTATAGTAAGTTTATACTAGTGTGTAGTAATAATGAGTAGTTGGGGATAGAATTTGACTATTGTGTGTTTATTTCCTAGATTAGCTTTGGGAAGTCCTGGGGGGGGAGGGGGGAAAGGGGTAGGTTTGTATTATAGATTTATATGTACATATATGTATGATTTTTTAAGGAGGTGTCCGGTGGTGCCCCAACTGCACAAGACGGGATGGTTGAGTGAGGAAGGGAGGTAGGAAAGAGGGAGGAAGGAGGAGTGGTGGTAGTTTGGGAGGAGGAAGGTGTGGTAAGTGGAAGAGGGAGGTGCAGGGGGGGGACACCGGACACGTCCGTGAATGTATTGATTAGTGTTATTCTTTTTGGTTGATATTGTGATAAAAGATCTATGTTTTTGTTTTTAATTGAAAAATTAATAAAAAATTTATTATATATATATATAAAAATATAATACTAGCATCCAACTACCACAAAGAACCTGAGCAATTTCCCTACTGCACTTCCACTCCTAGTCTCCCTTAAATGCCACTCTTTTTTCTTTCCATAACACTTATTTTTGGCCTTCATTGTTGCATTTCTTCCTATCTGGCAGAACAAAGAGTGATTCAGAGGAATATCCAGGAACAACCCACCCTGAGCACATACAATTATTTGTATATATGTATTAGGGTGGAGAAATAAAAATAGCTTCCTTTGAAATATTAATAAGAAAGTACAGGAATAATTGTTTATCTTCTGAACTGGGAACCTGGCATAGTTTTGAAACACTGGGAGCCAGATGAGCATCATAAAAACTTCTCGTTGTACATATTATTTCAGGAGGCTGGTTCCCTTGGAAGTACTTCAGCATTTCTTAGGAAAAGATTTAAGGATATTAGATCCTATGTTCTAGATTGACTCCATTCCAATGTTCCCCTTCTGGGCAAAACCTGAACATCATGGTTCCAGATGTCCAAAATTCCATCAGTTTGTTGGGAGATTCCCCTTCATTCACTCAAACACTCTCCTCTTTCTGGCTTGCCTGCTCACTTTTTGGCAATATTTAGCATCTTGAGCTTCTTTTTCATGCGTGGCCGTGAAGCAGACATGGAAGTATCTACAAGGGAGGATGTAGATTGAGAAACCTGCCAAAAAAATTGATGTGTTTAATGAAGAAATGATTTTTCCTGCAAATCTTGTTATGCCTATTGGTACTAGTCAATAAATTGTAGGATCATCTTTCAAGAACTGTCCAAACATGGGTTCATCTTCAAGAATAGTTTCCTGAGAAATACAGCTACCGTATATTCCGGCATATAAGATGACTGGGTGTATAAGACGACCCCCAACTTTTCCAGTTAAAATATAGAGTTTGGGCTATACTCACCGTATAAGACTACCCCTGTTCCAACGCACACCAAATAAAAATTAAAAAACATCAGATTTGATTTCAATATGGTAATTTTAATTCAAATGCTTATGACATGCAGGTACTTAGCAGGAAAACTGTCACTTATAAACA